AAACTTTTTTTAAGTTAAATAATTTTAAATTTAATTAATTTATATAAAAATTTAATAATATAATAAAAAAATAAAATATAATTAAAATTTTAAATAAAAATAATAATATTTATTATTTAATTAAAATTATTTATATTTAATATATTTAGTTAATATTTAAAAAAATTATAAAAAGTTAATATATATATAATTAATTATATTAAAGATAAAATTAATAAATTTATTAAATTAAAAATAATAATATTAAATTTATTTAAACTTTAATTTAAAGTTAATAGTTTTTATTAGTAAAAGCTATAAATAATTTAATTAACTTTTTTTTATTTTATTTTTATATATAAGTTATTAATCTTATTAAATTAATAATATAATATTTTTATAATTAATATTATTTTAATTAAAGATAGTTTTAATTAAAATATAAAAAAAAACTTTTTTAAATTATTATAAAAGCTTTATTAGAAGATTAATAGTTTTTAATAATAAAGTAAAATCTATTTAAAATATAAGTACTTAGGTAAATGGGGCTGGATTTAAACGGGTTGGGTGGCTATAGCACTTGAGAAAAAAATAAAGTCCTCTTGTCGCTATGTCCTTCCGTAGATTGCCCTACGACCTCCACTGCCAGGCCGGCGAAGAAGGCCAAGACGGCACCGCCAGCCAACTCCACTCCCACTAGCCCCACTGCTAACCGGCAGCCGGCAACCGTCGCCGCCGCCAGCAGTACTATCACGTCCACTGCCCTGCCCGCAGCCGCACCCGACTACATTACCCACGGAGGCATGTTATGGCCACAGCTATTACGGCATGCCTCCCGCTGCCGCACCTGCGCATAAGTTTATGAGCATTCCTGTGCCTGTAGGAGCTGGAGTAAAGGAGTCCAGGCGTTTAGTGCGGATGCTACGCGATCTACCGCAGGCGATCGAGGACCGCATCGACGAAGAATCCAACATTTAAATTAGAGTTGATTCATTTTCAAAGGAGTTTGCGGAGTTTATTTAATACCATTTACTGGCCGCACTAACCTAAACCTTGACCCTCGAGTCGGCACTGCTGGCCCCGACGGCGGGTTAGATGGAACACAGATTTGGTGAAACAGCCAATATCGTTGTTCGCAAGTATAGAAGTAGCCTCAGAATTGAGATCTATTTAAACAAATTAATGCCAAGTCATCTACTTCGGGATTCATGATTTATCTGCAAGACCCTAGATGGATGGTCAAATATCAAAGTGCTCTCCACGGGTGCGTTGAATTCTCGAGGAGAGCTACACAGCTCGTCACCATGAAAGGTCTCGCCATCATTCAAAGTATTATTCCCCTCGCCTCGGCTCTCTGTTACCGCGATCCCAACTTCTATACCCGCTCTGACTTCACGCCGCGGTCTTCGGATACACCGGCCTTCAGGGTTCCTGGTATGGTCTCTCTAGCGCTGGTTGCGACCGAAAATGGCACGCGCCATCTCGCCTATCGACGGTCCGCCAAAGAGGAACTGGTCCGAATGCCTACCACACGTCGTATAGACGTTCGGCGAGGCACTCTTCTGGCTTGAGCGCCGTGCAGAGTCAAAAGATTGCCTACCTCTGCTAGAAAATACGCTGGAGTTAGCGTTGCTGGCCCTCGAGTTAGAATAGCAGTTCGTCTTGCTGCAGCTCGAGGCAGAATAGCGGCTGGGTATAAACGAAGATGAGGGAGAGCCAAAATTTTGAGCCACCATGCCCGGAACGTGAGGCTTCGCTGACGATCTACAACCTGTTATTCAATCTGACGCTCTGCAGGCATCGCTATATCCGGAATACTTACGATTGCGTGGCCAATTGTTGCATTCCACTGTCGGCAGAGGGTGAGTTGTCTTCTGACATGCCATTTGCTAGTGTTGCATTGCTTAGAGCCTGAAATTCGGCTTCGGAGGGTAAAGTAATTTCAGTAGCAGGGAGTCTCTGCTTCATATCTTGCAAAGTTGCATCGAGCGGCACGACATATGCTTCGCCGAATATGTCAATGGCGATGACATGCCCATAAACTTGTCCCGTGACAAAGTCGACCACCCAAGATCCCGAGTCACCTGGTGATAGTCCTGTCGAACCTCAGTTAGCGGTGATATAACTGAGTTTTAGTAGGCATCCCCTTACTTAAACCACTGTCAAGGATGAGATCATATACTGTGGTGAAAGCCTCACTCCCGGATGATAGGAACGATGTCCCTCGTCTGCGGATAGAGCCGTTTAGATTCCCGCGCCGGCTAGTAAGCACCACAACAACCGGATTGGATAGGTGTGGTGCGAGAACTCCCATACTCAGCAGGGGCAATTTGGAGGCCGACGTTAGTTGAACGAAATTCGGTAAATATTTGATGTGAAGCAGTTCAACCAATGCCCAGTCCAGATTGGTAGATTGACGTGAGGCCTCGGAAGGCAGATGAGCCACATGTCCGACAAGGTGGCTCCATTCTTGGTTGGCAGTCTCGAGATCAGCAGCTTCGAAGTCGTCCAGATTCAGGTCTATCTCGCCATTTTCATCTTGAATTGCGATGCGCGTCTCAACGGAGGAGCTCGCTGCTTTATGCCGGCAAGTTGAGGACCGATGGTCCGAGCAGAATAGCTTCGTGACAACGTGTCCCGCTGTCATGCAACAGAGGTACTTCCGAGACTCCGTTGTAACCAGCACAACCCCTCCGATCGTCGCCATGGCTGGTCCATCCAGGTTGCGGACGAGGATCGGCGTCCCGCACAGCGTATCTCTGTCCTCAAGATTTGGTATATGCGAATAGACATTGACGCAGCCAGAGGCAGCTAGTCGCTTCGGCTCCCTCGACACGATAAGATATTCGAACTGGGACTGGAACTGAACCTTGACATGCGGTTGGTCGAGAAACTTTTTCAGGGGTTTGACCACACAGTGATCGCATTGGAATATAAGGTATAACTTTGCCTCTGCTTCTGATGGACCTAAATATTTCAGCTTCATGGACAAGTCCGCCCCTGGGCTATGGTAATTGTCCAAGAGCTCACGGAGCTGCCGCGTGAACAAGACCTTCCAATCGTATAGGCGGAGCTGTGCCGCCTCTGGAATTTCCTTCTCGTAAACTCTGAATTTCTTCCTGACGGGTGGTGTGGGTTCGCTGTCCTCTTTATTCTCTCGAATAGACGGCATCAATGTTAATGAATGGTAACCCGAATCATAGCTAGCAGCAGACAGAGTTGAGCCTTGGCTCTTTCCGTCGCAGGCGTCTGTCTGCTTATCAGAACTATTTTGCTCCTGAAGGGGGTAAGAGCCTCTCTCTTGGATCGTGGTCTGACTTGCGAGCCATTTTCGAAGCTTCTCCAATCTCCTGCCGGTCCAAATTCGAGCCACTGTTTTGAACGACATGGTGTCTGCTGAGGAGGGTGGGAGCTTTTGAGAAGAAACTCGCTCCTGTCATGTCTGGAGGATTTCAACATATGTGCGCTGCCATTGAGCGAGCGCTTGTGGCTTGCCAGCACGCTGGCAGTGAATCCAAAGCTGGCGAGGCCTCCTGGATTCAGTGGACGCCACCTGGAGTCAGCCATGCAGATCGATCCATTGGCAGCGAAGGCGGCATGTTAGATGGACACAGCCCGCTTAAGCAGACCCGCATCACAGCAAGCCTTCGCTCAACCAGCAGCCGTCCACGTCGAGCAGGAGGCGATCGGGCAAAGAGGGATTTGGGGGGATTTTCGCCAAAATAGAGGTTCGCAATAATAAAACAGCCGACCTGGTGTTACCTACCCTCCCCCAAATTTTCTCCTCTTCTTCTCACTGACACAAGCTGAGTTTACTCCAACATCCTGTGACAACGCCACGCACACAAACAGATGTTGACATTGGTCAACCATGAGGGAAGACACTGGAGCGAAGATCGAAGCCTGCATTCGTGCAGTTTCTAAACTTCACTGGACAACCCCTGTCCTAGGATTCGAATGCCACGACTATGACAACGAAGATGGAGTGATAGAGGAGCAAAACCTCAAAAGGCTGATTGGCGAACATCGACTTCAACCTTACTTCCAATACTGCCGACAGGAGCTCCTGATATCTACAGGATGCATAGAACTCCCGGACCGTCTACAGCCTCGTCTTCATTTCACTATTTCCAAGTTGAGGGCAGAGCCAGACATCAGCAAACAGCTACTGAGAGTAGCAATGCAGGAAAGCGGTCACTTTAGTCACGCCTCCCAGCTAAATGAACTAAACGCGATGATCGCCTCTGCTGTGAAAGTGATGTTGATGCTGGACTGCTCGGGTTTGAACTACCTATCACATAGGCTGGAAAAAGGGACACATCGACTAGAATGGCAAGATTCCGTGCCATTCAGCAAATTTGTCCAGGATATCTTTCCCGCTACCTCACATCCTGCATTGGGCTTCCCTGACAATCCTGAGCACAATGTCGTCAAATCGACCTTAAAGGGCACTAAACTCAAGAAATACTTGGGTCTGAGCTTACGGCCAACCAACGACCTGAGAGATCATCTCAAATTTGACAGACGGAAACGTGTGCTTGAGATATTTCATCACGCCGGGTTCCTCAAACAACAACTTGTCCTGACAAAAGGCTTACCCAGGAATTCGAATCTTATAGATTCTCTACGACTGTGAGTTATTGGCACTGATCCCTCTAGAAAGAAGAGAAGCAACAGACCGAAAGACATGCAAGCAGAATCTGACACTTTCATGCAAAGAGGGGGTCTTCCCCGCCAGCTCGCACTAGAAACTCTCGAATCCCTCCAAGGTGTATTATTCCCACTGACGGACAAGAAATCTAACCAACTTCTCTCAAAAATGATTCAGAGCGGCACCTTTGATCCCGAAATGGCCAGGTTTGACTATGGATCGATACGGAACCCAGGCGAAGAGAGTGTTCCATTCTACTTTCTTGCAGACCGTCTATCGGAATTGCACAGTGAACTGGAGAACCCACACCCACAGGGATGGCTGGAACGTGTCTGCGAGAGGCGAAGCGCGAACCGGTACATGTTGCTGGCCACAATGATTGGGGTTATACTTGCTGTGCTACTTGGGGTGGCTTCGTTGATAGTTAGTATATACCAGACCTGGATTGCCTACCACGCTTGGCAGCATCCTGTTTCCTCTGGAAGTTGAGGACGGGAAAGATAGTATAGGAATATTATGACCTTTTTTATATCTAGAAGGAGCGATTATGATTTTATTAATTATAGAAGAATTAGTTCGGAAAAATATTTTTATTTATAGTTACTATTTTTTTTAAATTTTATTTTAAAAAAGATATATTATATAAGTTTTTTCTTTTTAAATATATTAAAAAAAAATAAAAAAATATTATTTCTTCTATCTAATTATTTTACTATATTTAATATTAAAAAAGTTTTATTCTTTATAATATTTTACTTATTTTTAGAATACTAAGATTATTATATTAATTAATATAATATTTTTCTTTTTAAAAATTATTAGTTTAATAGAAAATTATTTAAATTAGCTTAGCTTATAAGATAATTATAAGAAAGTAATAATTAATATAATAAACTAAAAGATCTATTAGTTCTAATACTATATATTAGAACTACTTTCTTATATCTACTTAAAAATCTTCTTAATTGTAGTAGAACCTAGTTACTTCTAGAGATATTATTATAATTCTTCCTCCTCTAAGCAGGCTCGTCCTAAGCTTTAATAGAGCTAGCTAAGATATAATTAGTAGATGTAAACCCCTAAGGATGTACCTTGTAAGCCTAATAAAGGATTATTATAGTTATATATACTATGTCCTACAATAATTATGTAGGAAACCTCTAGGCCTCTCATATAAGAACACCTCTATACTATATAAGAAAAACACCTCTATGTTGACTGGGCTTCGAACTGGCGATTATATATACCTAGCTTGAACTTTCTAATCTAGTAGACCTATATAGTATTAGAATAATTATAAGATAATTATAAGGGAGTAATAATTAGTATAATAGATTAAAAGATCTATTAGTTTTAATACTATAAATTAAAACTACTTCCTTATATTTACTTAAAAACCCTCTTAATTATAGTAGAACCTAGCTACTTTTAAAGATATTATTATATAATTAGACTTTTTTTAATTTTACTGTTAGATTTAGTTTTATATTATTTTTTTAATATACTTTTTAGTTAATTAATAAAGTTATTTATAATTAAAATTAAGTAGTTAAGTTTTTTTTATAAGATAATAAATATTTACTATTTTAAATTAATAAAAAAAAATTAAAAACTTTTTTTTAAAAAAAGATTAATAAATTTATTTATAATTATATTAATTATTTTAATTTAATTTATTTTAATTTTTTATTTTATATTTTTTTAATATAATTAATAATAATAGATATTTATATATTTAAACTTAATATAAAATTAATAATAATAGATATTTATATATTTAAATTTAATATAAAATTTTATAAAATCTTTAATTAAAAAATAAATTATTTAAAAGATATATTAAATATAAATTATAATTAAATTTTAATTTAATATTTTTAAAAAGATATATATTAAATATTATTATTATATTATTTAAGTAGTATATAATTATAAGCTAGATAATAACTTTAGATTATTATATATAAAAATAAGTTTTCTTATATTTACTTATTAAAAAAAAAATAAAAAATTTACTTTTTTAATAATTTACTTATTTAATAATTTACTTATTTAATTAAAAAATCTAGTATATAATCTTATTAATAATAATATATTTAATATATAAGTAATTACTAATAAGATAAAATAATATAGCTTACTTATATATTATAAAAAATAAAAAAATAAAAGTAATAAAATAATTAAATATAAAAGTATTACCTATAGGTAATAAGAGAACTTAGATAGAGATAGGCTTCTCTACATAGTTACAAGTCAAAGAGATTATTTAGAGTCCAGTCATAGAAGTAATAGATTTTAATTATAGAATTACTAGTAAGACTTTAGCTTAGAGAATAAACTCTAATTATTCCTAAACTTCCTTCTTTATTCCCTAAAAGCTTTACTATTCCTTTAGCTATCTATAGTCTATTTTTAGGTTATATAATTACCTTACCCTAGCTCCTAGCTAAGCTAATTACTTTTATTACTTCTTCTTCTAAAGCTAATAATACTTTTAGTCTAATTATAATTAATTTAAAGTCTTTACTAAACTTCCCTATAATACTTCCTATAGTACTCTTTAGTAATTATAAGATTTACCTTTAAGTCTATTCTAAGTCCTCTCTTATAGTACTCCTTATATTTATTAAGATTATAAAAGGTTCTAGAAATTAAAAGAATAATAATTATAAAACTATTAGAATTTTAAGGGAATAAAAGAATTAAAAGTGAAAATAATTATATAAAAACAGTTATTATATTAAAATTGTGTATAAGAAAGTCCTTGTTCTCTTTTTTTTTCCTGGAAAGAGAGAGAGGAATCTAGGTCTATATATAATTATCTTTCTTCCTTCTTCAGGTCGAAAAGTGACCTAGTTACTTTTCACATGCCTTCCGCCTTCCTAGTTTTAGTTTCTCGGAATTCCGAGAGTTATTTCTAGAACCTGTTTTTCAGTCCCGGAAGCCCGGAAGCTTATTTTTAGTTTTCCGGTTTCCGGAAACCCGGAAACTTATTTTTAACTTTTCGGGTTCCGGAATCGGGTTCCGGAAGTCCAGAAACTTATTTTTGGCTTTTCGTATTCCAGAAGTCTAGAAACTTCTTTGGGTTCTGTACTGGTTTCTTAGTTCTAGGCTGGTTTCTTGGTTCCAGGCTGGTTTCTTTTTTAATAAAGAAATAGAATAATAGTTTTCTTTTTAATAAGTTAATTTTTATTTAAATATAATAACAATATTACTCTCTTAAAACCTTAGATAATCTCTTATTTAAAAGGTTTTTATTATAGAGTTTATTTTTAGTTTATTTAGAATAGCTTTTAATATCTTTAGTAAAAAACCCTTACCATCCTAGTAGTTAGGAAAAAAAGTAATACTTCTAAAATAATTTTACTTTTTAAACTTTATAAAAACTTATTTTTATTTATTTTCTAAATAGTCTAAGGAAAATTCTAGTTCTCTTTTTATAAAAACCTCCTTTTAACCTATTTCTAATTATTAAAGGAAAAATTATATAATATAAGTCTTTTAATTTATTCCTAGGGAGTTTATAATTATAAAGATAGCTTAAAAAGCTATATATAAAGCTAGCTTTAATATTTATTATTAATAATATTCCTTTTATAATTAAGTCTTTTATTAATTTAATTAGAATACCTACTCTTCTAGATTTTATATTATAAGAATTCTTCTTAATATTCTCTATATAAGGTCTTTATTTAGATTTCTCTAGTCTTTAATAACTTTCTCTATATTAAGTT